AGCTGGTCTGTGCAGAGCAGAGGACATATGGCACTTAGTGACACTAAACTCAGGAGTTAGATCTTAAAAATGCATTCAGTGCCCTATTAACAGAAATGTATCTTATATGTGCATCACTCGGCTGTAGATCCTCAAATCATCTTTGAATTGGTGGTGACACTGTCCTTCCTTCTGGAGGGTGGCTACTTTTGTTCCAAAAGTGTGTGTGTGTGTTGTAAAGTTGTCACCGCTCCAAGCTCACTCCTGTGATGTGAATTTGTATTGAGATTGTAATCCATCACAGGAGTGAGCTTGGAGTGGGGTGGGTACTTGACAACACACACAGGAACCATGGGGAACAAATGTATCCACCCTCCAGAAGGAAGTACAGTGTCGGCACCAATTCAGAAATGATTGGAGGATCTACAGCCGAGTGATACACAAATAAAAATGTATCTTATTAAAGGAGAACTATGGGGTTAAGTCTTTTCCCCATAGTTCTCCTTAGGGTAACGGGAGGACACAAACTAGCGTCCTCCCGTCACCCTAGGCTCAGTAGACCGCGAGCTACTGAGACTCTGCAGTATACCGCGAGCAGCTGCTAGCGGTATACCGAGACGCCGTAGCTGACATTTGTGTCGGGATCCGCCCAGCTGCGTGACCGACAGCTGGCTCTGCCTATCTAAAAGGCAGAGCCAGCTGCACCCGCCCCCTCCCCAGTCCGTTCCGCCAGGCAGCGCTGGCGGATCGGAGGGGGGAATCCAGCCCCTCCCCTGTCACGGCAGAGAGCCGTGACAGGATCGAGAGGCGAGCGAACGCCGGTATGTGTTCGCTCACCTCCCGATCTACTGAGCCGACCTGTGACAGTCTCATTGTCACAGGTCGGCTAGAACTATGAGGTGAGTGAAAATCACTTACCTCATAGTTCTTCTTTAATGGTTAAGGAACTTGAATTATTTTTTTAAAGATTTAACTACCGAGTTTACTGTCATTTTAATGCTTCGTGCTGACCCGAGGAACTGGTACTTTAGTCCCTGGGTCAATAAGAAAGTATTATCTATATTATTCCACTCCCCAAGCCCTATCTAGGCAGTAAATATCCCTGGGCTTTTTTTATAAAGGATATTGGCATGATGTGTTTAACCCTTTGGTCAGGACTCTGTTTACATGTGTAAAGCCAACTGTCCGTATTACACTAGGAGATCAGCTCCGGGGGCCGATGCAGTACATGCACAACGCCCCCCAACCCACCTGGCTTACCGGTCTCCACTGTCCCTCCAGTGGGCTCGGGACCTCGGGTGTCGGCAGGAAACGGGAAAGGAGACCGGTGAACATCCATTGACCAATCTCCTCCTCCCCACTTATGGGACTGAAAGCGAAGCCAATTGCATCACGAGCCGAGCAATAAGCTATTGGAGCACGATCTGTGCGCCAATAGCTTACTTGGGAGTGGAAATAATTGACCCTTAAAGAGAACCTGTCTCCACTAGTATGCCATCAAACCATCACATAGGGGGCTTGTAAGACACCTTATATGATAGCAGTTAAGAAAAAAAAAAAGTCTAATCAGAATTAAAGAAATGTAAAAACGAAAAATATTGTTAAAGTCCCCCGCCCCCGTGAGCGTGCATTAACGCAAACACGCATAAGGTGTACCTATGTACGAAAACGTCAATCGAACTACACATTAGGTATCGCTGAGTGCACCAGTGTGAGAGCAAAAATTCTAGGGCCAGCATTCATGAATATTTCTAAACTGATGACCTGTGCAGGCTTTAAAAGCGTCGCCTATGGACAATTTGGAGTACCATATTTTACTGCAAGTGCATTTTTTTTTTTTTTAACTAAATTCTTCGTTTGGAAAAGAGTTGAGCTAATATTGTGCAACGTAAAAATTTACAACTGCACCATGTTATTCTACAGGGTCTTTGCTTTCAGAAAATATATAATCTTTGCAGTTTTAAGTAATTTTCAGGCCTAAAATATGGGAGGAGAAACATGTGCAAAAAAAAACCCACAAAAAATGCCTCGACAGCGAAAAAGTTAAAGCGCAACTATAGTTAAACATGTCCTCCATCCTACCAGCAGGGAAAACAAGGCGCATGTTTAATTAAGCAAAAGAAAATATATATTTACACATTTTTAAAAACTAGGGAAATTACTTTTAAAGGCCAAGTTTACCTTAGACCATTTTTAACGTTGGACCCAAAATTAGGGTATAACATGAAAACTGGTCAGATAGCAACGCCACCAAACCCCCCACATCAATTACCTGAATTATTATTATACAGGATGTATATAGCGCCAACAGTTTGCTCAGCGCTTTACAATTTAGGGAAGACATTACAATCACAAGACAAATCAAGACAAGATGGTAAGGAGGGCTGAATTAGAAGGGGTTCTTCTCCCCCCCAAGCGTGAATTTAGCGCATCTGTGTGTGGTTCCTCCCACACAACTGCATCATCCATTCACAGAGCCTTTGACAAGATCTGTAAATGGAGAAACAAGTCCCACTGGCAGCGCATGATGTCACCACACTTGTAGTCCATTTATTCTTCTGCCATCCATGTTACTGAATGGCTGTGCAGTCCAGACTTAGTACAGACAGCGATGGCTAGAAGAGTCTGCAGAAACCAGGGCACTAGGCCCGTGGTCCACAGATAGTGGCTACAATGCCAAAAAAAAGCACATGTTTTCTTTTATGAAGTAGTATGCAGTTATTTTTTTTTTAAAGGTGGAATATCCCTTGAAGCATAAATGAGCAAGAACGGCAAAAGCCTGGAATTATATATTTTTTTTAGGTTTATTTTCAGGGTCCCGCTAGTACCCAAATATTCCAGTGAATTAGCAAGAATGTAAAGAGCAGTAAACCAAATCACAGGTCAGTCTGTGCTGGACAAACTGTTCATTTGCACAGAATTAATCCAAAAGTTACTAAGTTGGTAACCATTTCTAACATGGAAGAAAATGTTAAAGAGCAGCTGAGGCCAAAATTATTTTTGTTTTGGAGTAGAGGGATTAGAACCCGTCAGGTTATTTTTGTGTGTGTCCCTGTTCGTGATATTTACTCTCATCTGTCTGTTGACCGTCATCATTAAAAGTGAACAGCAAAAGTATTATGTGGAAAGCTTTCCATGGGTGGCACTGGTTCTAGTGACCCTGCTCACCACCAGGGATTTTCCAGGATAGAACAGGAAGTGAAGGAAAGTTCCCCCAACTGGACACATGGCAAAAAACTGACAGGGGTTATAACCCTCAATTAACCCATCCAAAACGTTTCTTTTTTTACACCAGCAACT